TTTTTTAGAAGTAGATTTTGAATATTCTAGTTATTACTTAACTCTTTATGGTAAGAACTTATTTTGTGAACGGTATGGTAGTGCAGTTATACGCTTAATTTAGTGCATATCAAATTATGTGAACGGTATGGTAGTGCACTTATACGCCTAATTTTGTGCTGTCCTATCTGAATTTAGGTTACCAATGAGAACTACCCGTTCGTCAAGTGGGCGAAAAAATACGGAGCAATAATGTTTGCACTTGAACACCGCTTCTACGGAGAGAGTCGGCCTACCATGTCAGTCCAATTTGGACTGTGTATCTGTAATTGTTTCAGCTGGCCTAATTTAGTGACCAATCCGTTGAAAATCTACGTTATCTGAGCAGCAGACAAGCACTGGAAGATTTATCAGCATTCGTCAAAGCTATGAATGAGGAGCACCATCTAGAAAATCCACGCTGGGTAACCTTTGGTGGATCATATCCGGGTAACGTTTGCTTATCATCAAGCTGTGAAGTTGATTGCCAAAGTAACTTTACAGAATTTTTACTTTTTACTTTTCCGTGAATGAGTCAAAAGCCTTTCCTACAGAAAGCATCATGCACAGTGCTAAAAAACAACAGCAAGCGGGGATTATAGACAGCAAAATTGCGTTGTCAAGTTGTTAGCAAGTTAGAAGGTTGAAAGAAGCGGTTAGGTACGGTTGTATAGAAAATCCAAGGGGAAAAGTTCAGTAGATTGAAAAAAAAGAACAGTGCTAGATTGCTACGTATTATAGAAAGACAAACTAGGTTGGTAGAATATTTACTTTCCTTGTAGGCCTGAGAATCCGCTAATAGAGCGTTCAGCCTGCGCCAAAAAACTTTTTGACATGTGGAAAGCAGGACCAAAAATATTTTATGGAAAAAGCTGTGTCTGTATATATGCTTTAATGTGACAGAGTAAGCTTTCTGTGATCAATCTAAGCAGACACTGCACACCAGTGGCGTACTCAGACACTTTTTCCGAAAGGGGGAGGGGGACTAAAATTTTTTTGGATGGAGGTGCATGGCATTAGCCACGCACCCGAAAAGTTTTCTGGGGTGCTTTTAAATCTTTTTGCGGGC